TTAACCCTGGCCGTCCACCCTAGCCTGGCCAATCCATGTTTGCAGCATGCCAATCCCATGCTAGCCTGGCTTGCGTACCCTGACCGTTTTAACCCTGGTATGTCCAGGCTAACCCTGGCCATGGCCAAGATTCCAGGTGACGTCGATCATTCCCAAGCTTCTACGAGATAACCGGCCAAGATTCCAAGAGATAGAGATTTGGTCGGCCAAGATTCCAAGAGATAGAGATTTGGCCAAGATTTCTAAGGACGCTCCACGCGGTTGTGGAGGCAGCGTGGTCATTTGATTTAGGAGACATCTGCCATCGTCGTCATTACATTTGATGTACGTACATATCAATATCATTCTTTGGTATTTAACATTTATAGAATAACAATAATTCTTTTTATTTGATGTAAGTTATATGCACTTATTTTACTTTCTTCATAAACTGAGCCAGTCTCTTATGATCGAGGAAATTCGAATGAAACCTTCAATTTGTTTTGAACCTCGATTAACATTCATAACTATTGATCTTGTTTTCCCTTAAAAGTTAAGTATTCTTATATCAATAGATTTATAAAATATGATAGATCATAGAGGCTATATAAAGCTATTTTGGGAGGGCCAGGGGGATCACTTGAGCCATATATTTTGAAATTCATAATTATTATATAAAATACAAATAAAAATATTTATTGGTACAAACACAATTACAGTAATTGGTAAAGGCCCATAAAAAAACATAGTGATAATTATGAAAATACAGTAGAACACAACCAGGATACAAACAATTGGTGTAGCAAATTATGTATTGTGCTTATCAAATACTAAATACATACATATGATTCAGTACAATATAGTTACTCATTTATGACTAAAGTATTTTTTCTTATATCAAATATTTGAGATAAAATTAGAAATGATGATAATACTTTAAGAACCTTTTTACAACTAGTATTCATCAATACTTTTAACAATTTGTCATTATTATCAATTGTTTGGTTAAAGTTAGGGAAAGTGGATAATTTTGTTTTGAATATTTTTCTCTGTGCTTCGTATTTTGGACACAGCAAAATGAAGTGTTTCTCATCCTCAATATCAAAGTTTTGACATACTTTACATATCCTATCATTTTTATTAGTTTCAACATATCTACCTTTTTCAATTTCTAAGTCATGTGCACTTAATCTAATTTTTGCTAAAAATGATCTATCATGCAGTGACTCTAGTTTGTCAACATAATGTGCACGTTTATTATTAAGACAAAAGTTCTGATAAAAAGACAGTTTTGAGGAATTCATAATACTTGCATTTTGTTCTTGTAATATTTGATCATGAATGCGTTGTTTAAAAATGCCAAGCACTGGTTTCATTGACATATTTAAATTTGTTAAATAAGAAAATCCTAAGTTATTAAGACAAGTTTTTAAACACAGAGACCATGTGTTAGTTTCTTTAGTTTTGATAAGAATTCATGTGCCAATGTATGTTCCATTAAAGTTTTTGTTGTTGGAAGGGGGGGGGGGGTATAGTCCAAAAAGCTTTTATTATGTTCATCCAACCTATGATAGAATTTAACAGAAAACGGCACATTGTACATGGGAGTTTATCGCTAATTTATTCTCTTAATGAATAAACAAAAGAAGTAAATGTTAAATTAATTTCAGTGAACAATAAAATACTTCAAGTTGAACTATACTGCTGCCTCATATTTAAATATTTCCATTTCTAATATTTTTCGCTGTGATAATCCTTTGAAAGCTGGCGGAGTTAATTTCTAGATAATATGTTGACGGTGCGACCTTTAGAGCGAGCACAAACTCTTCTATTGTTTTCATTTAGATCAGGTTCGTTAAACCGCACATGACATTTGGTGCGTCTAGACTCTGACGTCACATGATGCAGGGATTGACATTAACGGTTGTCCGATTGCCCGGGACAAGTAAAACATCAGTTCGGACAAGTGAAACCATCAATGTACTTGTCCGATCGGGCAAGTGGATATTTCTGATAGAAACATTTTTTTAAATCTTACATTAGTTTATAAAGAAAACAATAAATTGAACAGTTGATTTCCGCCATAATCAGGACATTGTTTTTGCATTCGGAATCCCTCGGTAGCGTTTCTGGATCATATCTGTACCTTTATTCAGGATCGGGTTTGGTATTCTGATTTCCTTCGTACATGCATGTAGTTTACAAAAAATGCGCTTGACAACTTATATGAACTAACGTTACATTCTAACGAAATAGATATACATGTAATAGAATAGTTTTTCTATTCAATTACATAATATAAAGAACACAAGTGGTTCTCGATGCTCGATTCCAACATGGTAACTGTTTTGTTGCCTCAACAGCGTTGGGAAAAAAATTCAAAAAAAAATTGTAAGGAAATATTATTAGTGCATTTGCTGTGTGTGTTTACAGGATAGTAAATGAAGGAAAAATTAAGATATATTTACAAAATGTAGCATCACCGTCATATCAAAAAAAAAAAATTCCGCCAGCTAAGTTCCAAATAGGCCGGAGTTAATTTGTCACTCTTTATTATTTACAACAAATTGAAATACATTAACTGTTATTTTCTTCTTTCAAAGTTTGGGCAACCAAGTTTTCCGTTCGGACAACTCAAAATTGTAGTGCACTTGCCCAAAGGACAAGTGAATATAAAAGTTAATGTCTATCCCTGTGATGTCGTATTTATCTTCAATATGTCGTCACATGATGTCGTATTTATCTTCAATATGTATCCATTAAATCAAGGCGAGTCAACTTTTTGTTGAACATTTGCCGTTATTCTCGCGAGAACGTAGCTAAAACAAGTGATGCATTGTGGGTCCAAATTACTGCGTCAAAAAATTTTGTCGAATGAATGCCTGTGCAGTAGTCCGAATTTTCTCTTTGCACAGGCGTTGTTTTAAGAGCTCGCAGTGACGAGCGTTGCTTCTCGACGCTCACTGCACTCGCTATTAATTCTACTGAAATGTAAATTAGGCAGGTCGATAGGTCATGAGCTAAGGAGGCCTAATATGCAGGAAAATCCCGGGCCCATCTGTCTCTGTGTCTGACGCTAAGGAGGCCAAATATGCATGTAAATCTCTTGCGGTTGCCTTTGTGTTAGATGTCAGTGGGTAAGGACTATTGAAACTGGCATGAGAGTCCCCGTGTAAGAAGAAGGTACAGTTTCAATACAAATTAAGCCCTATATTTTTTCTGAAATATGAAAGTGATATATGAAATCAAAATTCATTCTTTTTTAATCATAGGAATTCTTTACAGTAAGAATACACAAATAGTTTTTCGCGTATGACCTCCTAAATGCAAATTGTGACGTCATTTACTTGTGCATTTTCCTGTATTTTCTTAAAAAGTTGCAGAAGACATCAATTTTCAGTGGAATTTTCTTTCAGAAAACATACTCTGCCACCGTCGCTCGGAAAGATTTTGAGATATGTGATTTTTCATAGAAGTTTACACAATATATCCAAAAATTAAAGTGGGCGATGGTGGCAGACACTATTTTCTAAAGGAAAATTAGCGCAGAAATGTGTCATTTTGAAGCTTTTCTGCATTAAACTTAGAAATGTACCAAATTAATGATGTCATATTTCTAGAGAAGTCCTCCTTCATGCCATATTCTTTAATATCTTATCATATTCATCTACTCTACTATTGTTGAGGTCAATTTCATAACTTTTTAAGAACATTAAATTTTTAGCGCACAATAAAGCTCAGACCGTACCTTCATATTTAAATCTGAATCTACAATTTTATTTCACAATGAAATGGAAATATAAGGAATCACTGTCTAGTTAGTATAGTATGCCAGGGACATCAATGATAATGGGAAACATGGGATAACGTATGCATTAAATGGGCTTCGTAAGTATCCAAGGTCAAGAGATCAAAGTAGTTGGTATCCAATGAAAGGTATTTCCACGAAGAATATATGTGAAGTATAAAAGTCCTGGTATCTACTGTTCAAAAGATATGGCCAAATTAAAAGTTTGGAATTTTTGTGTAAATGTGGGTGAAACTCCAAGGACAAGGTCAAATTTGGTGGTTCCCAAAGAAAGGTCTTGTCAGTTGTCACAAGGAATATATGTGAAATATGAATGTCATAGCTCCACTTATCAGAAGTTATGGGCAATGTTAAAGTTTCTGCAGACAAATGTAGAGACAGGTAGACAGACAGACGCACGGACACAACAAAAACTGTGTATCCCCGAAGCTTCGTTTTTGGGGGCAAAAAACTCAAAGTATCTTTAAATTTAATAATTCTCAAAATCTTAACTGTTTATATGTTATATTTTCTTTAAAACTATTAAGAATTATATCTATGAGGTTAACAAAAACACACACTTTATCATGGTTGACCAGATGAATTTAACAAAACAGCCTTTTAAACATGTATACCCTCATTATTGGAATATCTTTTTTTTCCAATCATTTTTTGCAACATTTAAGAAAAATAAAATTTAAAAAGATAATACAATTACATGTGTAAGCTTCAAAGCAATAGAAATAGATTTAAATTTATAGTTCGATATAAAAAATATAAAAAGCTGTAGATTCAAAAAGGCAACTAAAAAATTTATTTATGTGCTAAATGACAGATCCTATGAACAGAGTGCAAAGTGTTAATTCCCATAAATAATGTACAGTGTATATTAAATGCTTTGTACCGGTTTGCACAATTACACTATAATAAACAAATTAGATACTTGTTAAATTATTTTCAATGATCCAAAAAGATTTTATTTCAACAAACAAGTGATAATCAGAATTTTACATTGGTGTGTAAAATTAAAACCGGATCCGTAAAAGTATGCTCCTCCCTTTATCTGTGATTTTAGTCACTGAAAGACCACAGGGAGAAAATTAAGAATAATTAAGAACCACTAGGCTGTGATTAGTTATAGATTAGAAGGCATCGTCAGATTCAAGTTTGTTCAAATCATTACACCTAAAGGTAAGGCTGGGCCATAACATAATATGCACCTTTATTTACAAAGAAATATATTGCAAAAATAATCTGTTGATAAAGAACAAAAGGGCCATATAAATTTACAAAATCATATGAACATTGTGGTCCATGGGCCTATCTTATACATAACTGCACAATGATAGCATACAAGTTCATTTTGATATTACATGTACATCTTTGCTAACATGAATTGTTTTTTTTTCTTGAAAGTCATCAAGGCCAAGGTCAACTCCATAAAATGGTGATTATTTCATCAAACTTAACTTGTACCAACAGCTGAATCCAGAAGAGGACACTCTTGATGGGTCATACAGACCTTAACAGGTATACTAATAGTTTTCTAATTTCAAGTTCAAGGGTTTGTAAAGATTGTTCTTAAATTTGAAATCTGACAGCATGGAAAACCTTTTTAAAAGTCAAATATTTTCAGAAAAGAAAAGTTTAAGATGTCTTAATTTTTCTACAAATTTCAAAATGTGAACTGAAATGGAGTAAATTTACTTTTCAAATTTTTGCAGTAAAGAATGCCTTTACCAGTTGCAGAAGCTCAGACTATCCATTGAGAGTGTTTTGTGTTTAGCCTACCAAGATACTTACATTGTACAAAAAGAAATCTTTACTGCATGTAAATTAAAAAATCTAACTATTACATGTATTCTCTCATTATTTTATTTATTTTTTGCTCTTTTGAGCTGAATTACTATGGACATTTGTGCAGTGTACATAAAGTTTTGGAATATGGGCCTATTATCTCAGGAACCCCTCGTCCAATTTTTGTAAAATTTGTCATGGGGTATGCTTGGCCGAAGGGGTTCCCATTTCTACTAAAACTAGGGTGTGCTATTAAAAAGGGGAGATAATTAGGAAAATAAAACCAATGGCATTGGTCATGTTTGTATAAAAAGTATAGTCTCAAGGTCAATTCAAAGTTGACCAAAAATTATGCTTAATTAAAACATAAACATTTTGCTATTTATAAGGACAAGGATCATCAAATCTAGTTAGTAGATGTGACAAGACATAGATCTTGAACATATATAAAAATACCTAGTATGTAAGTAAAAGGCAACATTTGCCAATTGCAGCATACATAAATCAACTTTAGTAGTGATGTAAAATAAGTTTATCCCCATTCAACCTTGTTTGCAGGGGTGTAGTATTTAGAATGAAGAGCATCTTCTCCATATATACTACACCTTTATCTTAGGCCAAAAAAAAAATAGTCTTGTTTCCTGCTACGCGACCTACCCTATTTTTTTGCACCCGACCCTAAAGTTTTTTTTAAGTTTTGGGGAAAAAAAATTCATGTTCAAAAAGAAAAAAAAATAAATTAAAGCAGGCTGTATTTCATGAAACCCTATGTAAAGATGTGCGAACATCTAATTTTAAAATATAATGTTGACCTATATGACATGTTTTATTTGGTTTTGTATTAGTCATATCCAAAAACTACCACTGGAAATATTAAAATAATTTTAAAAAATAAAATAATTTTCCTACCTACCTACCCTATTTTTTTTTTCAGCTGGTAGCAGGAAACAAGACTATTTTTTTTTTTTTTTTTGGCCTTAACAGCATGTTCAACCTGCAAATTATTTTACACTAAACAAATACAAGTCAGCAATAATTGATGTAGCATTGGCAAGTTCACAATAGTAATAATGATGATGTAATAGGCCTGTAGAAAGTGGGTGAGGCCCTTTTTCTTGTATAGTACTTTTCCTTTAGATGTTGGGTCCACCTCAAAATCCTGTAATATTTAAACAGCCAATTCCAGGATTTAGATAAAGTTATAATTAGGTTTTTCCTTTGGCTTGTCAATTTTTTTTGGGAAGCCAAACCCCCCACCCAACCCCTACTTCGGGCCTATGTGATCTAACAGCATTGCTTAATTATCAGCAAAATTATTTTATTAAATATGGGAGAATCCACAGGTAAATTTTGAATCATTTTCCATTGTCTGTGTAGACCATGCTGTTATATAAATTCTTTATCTCTTCGCTCATAACTTTTGTTTATTATTCATAGAAGAGGGCCTACAGGCCTTAATTATTGGTCATCTGAGCAAAATACAGTCCTTAACAAGAATTATTTTGTAAGATTTAATGCATCAATACAAAATAAAATAACCGACATATTAAACTGAAATTATAACATACACCAAGTTTTAAAATACCAATTAAATTTACTTCACTAACACCATTTTCAAGTTTTTTGTCTTTCTTTTTAAAGTAAAACATTATTGCATCACCGTGACAATAGTCATCAAATTTGACATTTACTCAAGTTATTCTAAGATGAAACAGGACACAAGTACCCTAGGTTCATTATTAATGCAATAAGAAAATTTGTATTAGACTTGTTTATGGAGGTGATAACAAAGACCTTGATTAGTTTGGATTAACTGAGTTTAATATACAATATATTGTTTTGTAAAATTAAAGGCCACAAGCACTGGGAAGGTCAAGGTAAAAGAATGGACAAAATTGATAAGTAAATGTATCCTTGCTTAAGCTTATTCAAAAAATATATGTAACAGCTTTTTTTAAATTGTACTAAAAACAAATTTGAGAAAAGTGAGGTCAAAATACACAAGTGGCCCATGGGTCACTTTGCTCACCTGAGTAACTTTGGTAATGCAGTTCTTTACCAGATTTCCCCTCTTGTTAAACCTATTGTGGCCCCCTACCCCCTCCCCTGTCATAATTTTTATACTCTAGAATCTACTTTACCCCTAGATGCTTCCACATGAGTTTCAGCATTTCTGGCCCAGTGGTTCTTGAGAAGAAGATTTTTTAATGACCCCACCCTATTTTTGTCTTTTCTTGATTATCTCCCCCTTGTGAAGGGACTTGGTCCTTCATTTTAACAAATTAAACCCCCTTAAAAACCGAGTCTAGGTCCTCACATTTCACAATGTGGAAAAGGTACCATACCTCATCATAAATGTTTGATTAATATAATGGAGCAGATTTCGAGGAATTAATTCACTTTCAGTATTAATTAGACCCCCCCTGTCCCTTGAAATCACAATTCTGGAAGAATAATCCATGCTCAGTATAACTAGGCCTGACCCTTGGGCCAGATCTTAATTTTAGAAGAGGCATCCTTCCTCATCATAACTATGTACTTAATTAATTCATTATCCTTTTACGAGGCATCCTTCATCATCATAACTATGTACTTAATTAATTCATTATCCTTTTACTCAGAGGCAGAGGAGATTTTCAAAGAGTTATTTCATTATCACTATAAAATCAATATAGCCCCACCTTAACTCCAGAACCCCTGACCTTGGGGCCATGAAAGTCACAAGAGACACTCTTGCTTGCCATAGCAATACATTAAGTTTGTTTAATACCTAGGAGAGAGATTTTCAAGGATTTGATGCATGTACACAATATGATCTATATAGCCCCAACCTAGCATAAGAACCCCTGACTCTGGGGCTATGAATTGCACAATTTTGGTAGAGGACTCAATGCTCATTATAATCATTTAAACAGTTTGAGTGCATAATGTCCAGGAGTAAAGAAGAAATTTAAAGATTGGATTAATTTTAGAGGTTTTGGCCCCACCCCTCGGGCCCCATGCGGGCATGAATTTCACAATTTTTGATCCCCTTCCCCTTCACCCGTAGATGTTATATTACTATTGTTTGCAGTTAAGTGTGAAGTTTTGCGTTACGCCACAATCTTTTTCGTCAGATCATCCAGCGTAAACAATTCACCTGATTGGTCAACTCATATTACCGGTATCAACATTGACACCAAAAAATTGCACGAGCAACCAATCAGGGATAAGAAGAAAGTTCCAGTCGTAAAGTTTGCGGTTAGGAGGCGTGTACAATTTACCTTGAGTGCAGCAGTCAACTAGATCGTAACGTAACGTAAAACTCAACTGCAAACAATAGTATGCCAAAATTGGTTGAAATTTGCTCAGCGGTTCAAGAGAAGAAGTTGAAAATGTCCAAAAGTTTACGACCTATTGACGACGATCAACGTACCACTTAAGACATACAACGACAGACGAAAATAGATAGCAATTGGTCACCTGAGGTGCTCAGAGCTAAAAATTTTGAAGCACTTGAATAGCTCTTATCAATATGTATTGGTATATGCAACTACAGTGTAAGTGCAAAGTGTGACAGAAGGATGGATAGTCAGACATGTAAATACTGTATGCCCAGGCCATAA